ATGTAACTAAAATTTCGTTTTATTAATTTAAATACTATTTATATAGCAATGTCGTTATTATAAAACATCCGTTACTTTGAAATTCATAAAATTTTCTGTTAAAAATTTAAAAAAAAAGTTTATTGTTTGTATTTATAAAATATTGATATATTTTTATTAAAAATATATATTTGTTTATGTAGCAATGCGTAATATTTTGTATTGAGTTATTAAAAAAAAAAAAAAAAAACTAATAGTTTGTAAACCCAGTTTGTATTAGTTATTACAGCTTCGGCATTTCTTAGCAAACCATAATAATATTACTTTGATTGTTTTTTTTCGATTCGAGATTAGTGCAGTGCATGAATTTCCACGTTATTAACATAATACTATGACTACTTTTAATTGACCATGATCATACATTCTTCAAGAACAAATAATATATCGCCTATTTTATTATTTTTGATAATCTATAAACACGATAACAACCGCCTGCCTTGATCCCGTTTTTCAACCATAAAAAAATTTCATTCCAATTCTACTTTTGATAAATTAGTTGAGATTTTTTTCATTTACCTATTATTAATCGTATATCACATTTTTATATTAACATGTATATAATAATAATATATAAATTCAGGAGCTGCAGGGGTAAGCGCTCGACCGGCACCAGCTGCGAACGAAATTGATATTGATTAGCAATAAAAGCAAGTGAATTTCGAATTTGTGTTCCAACGGAATAATAATTGTTATTGTCGAAAAATGATTTACAACTTACATGTGCTCGACATGCTTGCGGTACTGTAGCAGGGACATAACACCCCGCCTCTACATGCGTTTAATATATTTTAACACATTATTGTATTATAATAATATTGTTTTAACACGGTATAAAGCATCCATAACCCATTTAAAAACGATTACTGTTAACGGCAATATTATGTAGATGCAGTTTTACATATTGTTTATATAATATTACATGTATATATACGCATGCCAGCCACCACGTTAATGAATAAGGATAAGACGATTAGATCCAGGCAAATATGAGTGCAATATTATAATTATATTAATACGATAAAAAAATTAGCATATTATAATAAAAAATTATATATTATAAGCATGTGAATCGCAGTGACCTGCAGTTAATGGCAAGGTCCAAAACGCACGACTGCAACGAGCTAGGATTAACGATCTAAATATAAATATGTATTGGAATAATTATTCGCCATCCGAGCGACAATGCCCCAGTCTTCGATGTGCTGTAATAATCCAATTCCCAGGATACGACAACTTAGATTGTGTAATTTATAATGGGTAAATACCTACTATTTAGAGGCATTCACGGTGAACATTTAGTTAAATTATTTTGGTGTGGTGGAAACAGGTTAAGTTACATAAAGAAAGTTACCCGCACTCATAATTATTTAAATCGTCTATTACAATTTTATTTGAAGAAGTGAAAAAAATTAACTTTTCTGATTGGAAAACAAAAAGTTCTATTATTTTTTGAAGTCCTACTTGCATATTACTCATAAAGTCATAATTTACGACTAAAGTACAGCTAAACAATTATTATGAATAATGCCATTTTTTTTATCAATAGTTTGTTAGATAATGTGTATTATTATTATTTATTTCAAATATATTCTTTAATTTTTGAAATTATTTCATCCTTTATAGATTTACCACTAACTTATCTGATAGATAAATCTGAGCTAGTTGGATCTAATATCGTTCAGACCGGTCACTTCTATGGCTCACATTTTGCGTACATCAATGTGTTCGTTTACATCACGGCTCATTTAAAATATGTATCATGATAATAATATTATATTATGCTAGCGTGTGTTCGAGGTCGCGTCACGACGCGCCTTTTCGTATTTCGTTATTTTGTCACGGTAATTAGCTTAAAGTAGTAATAATAATACAATACTCGTATAACGCGATCTATATTTAATGATATTATTGTTATAAAATAATATATCCTGTGATATAAATAGTGATAGTAACAATAACAGAACAAAATCTTAATCATATAAGTAATAATATGTCGAGTAAAGTTATGAATAAATATCATGTTTTCATATGAATTATGCAATTAATTATTAAAGTCAACGACAAACTATGTAATATAATACATCATGCTTGATATTTTTACCAAATGCTCAATATCATGATTATATTATACTTTTTATTTATAGACATTTTATGTCTTATAAGTTATAATATTATTGTATTAATTTTTTATAAATGTCAGTTAATGTGTGTAAACAGTATTATGTATATAATTATTATAAAATATTATAAAGAAACGGCTACACAACCGACCGATGTCGTAACGTTTCTCGTAGAAGTTTAAGGTTTTTTTGTGAGACTACAAAGACCCAATTAATTTTAAAAAATGTGTGAGAAGTAAACCGATATTATGTGTTGTGGTGTTGAGAAATTGGAGCAGTTTCTTAGACTATATTTTTTGTTTATTACGCATAAGTACTATAAGTATACATCATCAAACATAATATATTTTTTATTCACATCACATGATGTAGATAACTGTGTGTGAGTGTTCGATATAAACAATATTTCGATTTTTAATAAACGTGTTCTTTCCTGAACACTGTTATTTCTCTACAGTTGCAATATTTCAGTCGCGTAAAACGATATTTTGACGTGTTTTTTTTTTCCTAAAGAAGTAATGAGCAATTTTATTTAAACGGCTCTCTGTAGACACGGAAAGACAAAACGCGTGCGTTTTTTTTTTAGCTAAAAATGTCCTTAATAATTTTGCTTATCGATTTTTTAATCATTTATCGCGTTTAATTAAGATGAGCGAATATAATATCGAATACTTAAAGGTTCGACGCAGATGCCAATTGATGAAATAACTGTACAGTATTGATTAATAATTATTTGAGTTCATTCGAGTGAAAGTTATTTCAAACTATTTTGTTAATACCAAGTATTCAGTACAATAGTACACGTCATAGTTCTGATAGAACACTATATTGTATATATTGTAATACGTACAGCATTACTATATCACACATATAATATGATAATATGCGGTGTTTGTAGTTTATGAAATGATATGAAACTGAAATCCGCTGTGAGTGGTAATTGTAATGTACAGTCGTTGTATTAAAATTTGAATTGTATAGTGGTATTATTCGTATTTACTTTACAATCAATTTTTCATGTACAATATGTATAATATATTTTATTAATTGAAACTTTAAAGTATAGAATTGTGTTCTACTACAATTATAAATCGTACTTATAGGTACGGGTTTAGTTTTCGAAACTCCATATAATGTTTAATACAAATTTACGTAACAATGGTTTCATTTTTCGAAAAGCTCATTTAAAATAATGTATCAAATATATTTAGAGAGTTGAATCGAGTTTAAAACCGGGTTTAAAATCTGAAGTTAATCAAAAAACCAAATAATGTTAAAACCACTTTACTACTCGTAAATCAAAACTCGATAATACAACTGAACTCAGTTTATACCATTACCTGAAATTTTTAAAAAATTAACCAGTTTTTACACTTAATAATAAATGTTATCGTATCTTGTTTCATTGAGTTGTAATATGACAAAAACTGACTCGTAGTAAATATAATATTATTATAAGATCATCATAGGGTTGTAAAATTTGTCATCAACGTATTTATTCTCAATTTTCAAATAATGATATATTTGTGGTATCTATTCGTGCACAAAGAATGTATAAAAAGCGAACACCTTAGATTATAATATTGAATCGTAAATTGCAGAATTACAGCATATTGAAAAATAAAAATATAACCAGACAACCTGAAACAGCCAATACGTGGTTAGATAAAGAAGGAATATAATATAAATCATATTTTATAATGTCGATGAAAAAGAATTTGGCGTGAACGTTTTTTTAGGAACCGTACGAATAACTGTATAAAAAGTAATATAAGTAATAAAAGAAAAATGTCGAAAGCACTTTTATCTGAAGTATGCTGAATGTGTTTCAAAAAAATCAAAATTTAAATGGAATCAGTGGCACCAGTTTAGACTGCTAAACATCAATATTGGTATAAGGACAATAAAGTAAATGTTCTAAAGAATTTTTATGAGTAGTTGAGTATCTCGTGAAGTAAATGGTATATTATTGGAATTTTTCATATATAGTTCCATTTACAAATTTCAAGTCTAAAAATTTTACATTGATATAAATAATATTTTCACAATTAAACATGGCAATATATATATTTATGGAATACGTACAGATGCGTAAATAGGATTCCAAAAATGTATTTGTTCAAATGATTTAAAAACAGATCGATGTCGCTGGACAGGGTGAACATTTTACTGTGAAAAGAATTTAAAAATAAATAAATAAGAATACGTCACGTCCTAATGCGTGTCTCCATCTTAAATGCATACAACACAGCAAAAATATATGTTTAACAAAACCAATTGTAGTTGTAGCTTTATTATTAAAATATATTTACTTAAAATGAAATTTAAATGTATCTATGTTTAAAGTTGGATTTTTATAATATATTGATTTTTAAGCAAATTATATTATTTTCGTTTTTAAATTGAAATATTTTACTTACGCATAAAACTTATTTATACATTGAAATATAAAAAAAATACTGACATAAAAATTAAACAATTTTCTTACACTCTAACTCTAACGTTTGATAATACATTAATTCAGTCTAATATTACAATTATATGTAATAACAATGTAAAATTGGTTTTGCTGAACGCTAATATTTGTTTTATTGAATACTTATTTAATAAGTCTTGACTTATTAACTTTATAATTAACATTAGGTAGGTACCTGAAAATACGCACGTAGTTGAAATTAGAAGTATAAATAACCGTGGTATATTGTAAAGGGACTAAGCACTAAGCCACCCTTTCAAACTTTTGGGAAAGCTTAGTCCTTAGGTTAAACTCCCCCACTATACTACCATATGGCTATATGGGTTTAATATAATGTTTGTTTCGTTTGGATTGCATATATACAGGTAGTCAAACAATTCGACTTGTCGGGGTTGGTATGCTCAGCCAGCCGATTAAACTACATCACGGCTGACTATGGAGTTGATGGGAAAGCGTTTGTGTACGTGTCGGACGCAGCCACGCGGTCGGTAATCGTGTGGGAGGTGGCGGCAGACCGTAGCTATCGAGTGGTGCTGCCGAAGGCGATCACGCACGATTGCACCGGCCGGCGGGACGTGCTTTACATTGCTTTAGCGAGGGATCTGGATGCCGGTGGCGGCTCCCTGTATCTGACATACTTGACCAGCAACCGTATGTACAAAATTGATACTTGCAACCTTCGTCAGGGATGCTCGGAGGGCACCGTCGTCGACCTAGGCCCAAAGCCCGAAAAGATGGTCATTCTGGGCACGGATGGTCGGAGTACCGTGTATTTCCGGTATCGTGGTCAAGGTGACGTGTACGCTTGGGATACAGACCGGTCTGGTGATGGCACGTCATTCGGCTCAGACAGGTTTTCGTTGGTCCGGAAAGCCGATGACTGTGGCCGGTTGGCCACGCAAGTGGCTCCCGACAACCAAGGCGGTGTTCTCTGGATACTTGAGAGTAACTTCCCGGACTACATATCCGGTGCAGTAGGTTGTTTGGGCGCCAATGTTCGCTTGCAACCCCTCATCGCCCAGTGTGGCAAATAATGCATATTATAACAGTTAATGAATGAGTGAATGACTTCGGCTGCCAAATTTCCAGTATTTAATGTTCCAGTAAAACATTTCACCGCAGAGCGAATGCCTTGGATTATTTGTTTTTGTAAAAAATAACAAATTATTTAATTTCAGGTAACTGTTACCGTGTTCAATAAATGTATTTGCATAACTTCTGTGCTTTATAATATTTTTGTTTTGCCAAACTCGAATAATATAAGTATAACTCTCTTGCAGTAGAGTTGATTCGTGTAAAAATTAAATATATAGTTAAATTATCGATTTACATTAAACGTGTTAAAATATTGTAATGTAAGTAATTAAACTTTAGTGAGAAATTTATTTATAACATATTTATAGAATACAAGTAAGGGTATGTATATCAGGAAAATCTACACGTTGAGACACTCTCTGGACATAAAAAACACATGACATAATATAACAACGTATATTTACTATTTTTTTTAGATGTATTTTTTGCATGATATACGTATCGCATATTATTAATAAATAATATGTTATATTATTATTAATTATTATTATTATTATTATTATTATACTAATTATATATTTATTTTATTATAAAAAACAACTTTCATGTCATTAATTATTTATTAAAAAAGTAAATTAAGATTTAAATTTAAGACTAGATTAAATACATTATAATACATAAAGCAGTGTTGTAACTTGTACAAAAAATAAATATATGCACTAATTAACAAAAGAACGACGAGGTGGTTAATTTATTTAAAAACATAAACGTTTTATGCATTTTTTTTTTTTTGGAAAATACTGTTTTAAATTATCTAGGATAGTAATAAATTATTTATTTAAGATCGTAATCAAAATCAACCATAGAAAACGCAAAATTATCTATTTCCTACAAACGCCCAAGATTTTAAACATATAATTACTATCGATAGTGTATAGGAAACTTATTGTTTTTATCAGCACGGACTAATTGCATAATTTTGAAAATATAATGTGGTAAGGTAAATCGAAATATTTCGAAAATTATAAATAGATTATTGTTATTTGCATATTAAATATTATAAATCGCTTTTGCAATAATCACAATCTCACAGTAACAGCTGTATCTACAATAGAACGATGTAATCATTATAATTTATCATCATTCCACAGCTCGGTTGCCTAATACCGGAGAACAGTGGTGGAGGCGACGTGTGTTGAAAATATGGTGATCTGATATTATATTACAGACCAGGTATAGTATATTATACCTATCGTTGTTAATGCAAGTTCACAATATTAAACCGATTAATTATTGATTTGTTTTGTACTGCGAACATTGCACCGTGCATGCTATAGCGAAATATCAGAAGGTTAGAAAATATAGGCGATCCGGAGACGGGACTGCACACGACGTCTATAAAATATATTCATTGCCATAACGAGTACAAAGGTACACAACATAACATACAACAATTATTATATTATTATACCTTCACTTTTAAAAACATTATTGTCGCACCCTTTTCTGATTTCTTCGCCATGTCAAACCTATATTAAAAACTATTTCGTTATTTTAATTTTGTCGTTTTTCGACACAATACATTATCAACATCGTTCTTCCACAATCGTAGTACGAACGTTTTGTAAGATAATACACCCTTGGACGGGCGGGATATCGTTTGGTCCACGTGCAACTATTATATTGTTTTAGTTAGTTACGTATTCGTATTCTAGTCAACTTGGGTTACCAATACTACGGTTACGGTGGTTGTGTCACGCAGGTACACGCGTATATAATATATATTTTGTACGAATACTTATATATATATATATACATTATATAGGTTTTAGGTACTACCTACGACCGCCACGCGCGTAGGTAACCTGCGGTGTCCACCGTCCGTGCGTTGCGCGCACGAATTCGTAAATTATGACAAGAGACAACAGATATTATTATACACTCGAATGGTAAAACAACAGAGGCATAATCGCTGCAGATCGCCTTGAACCACACCCCGTTGAATAATTCGCACTGAAATCCCGCGTGACCTATAAATAATATACACGTCCTAACATAACGGACGCGAGAAATAATAATAATAATATTTAATAATTAGATTTATGCATTTCCACCATCCGCGTGTACCGTGTACGTTTGTGTACCTTATGCATACACGTTTATATACGATCCCGTGAACGTACGCTGGTTTTTTTTTTTTAATTTTTAATTTTTTACCCAGGAAACGGATTTTGTTACACAACAATTATTATAATTACGGCAGTATGCACTGTTTGTTTGAATCACGTATACACAAGTTGTAGCTGGTAGCTGGAGGTATACACCGCGACACGGAGCGTAGAGCGTGCGCGCGACTATTGTTCAAACGTGCAATGAAAATTATTGTTTTTTGGGTCAGTTACTTTTAATTACGTCCAAACATAAAAGGTATATCTAATATTAAATACACACATATAATTATTATATTATGTCTGCAGATCTGATCGACATGTTATTTGTTTAGTTGTGTTTTTCAACTCAAAACTGCTGAACACGCGTGATACAATATTAAAATGTATAATATTATCACATCGAGTTTCTGTTCTAACTCAACATAATCACCGCTGCCACATGACGGTTTTAAAAAATTGCATTTAAAAACAACAATGCGAGACAGCGGCCACCGCGGCTCCGTGAATATCTACACTTACTATGATAATATTTAATTGAAAATACAATTCACAAATACATGATATACTCATCCCCGGGGGAAATCAATGCATTTTTATACGAATTATACTTTATTATCAAAAACGAATTCGATGAACATGAAATAGCTTGAAATGTGTTTATTTAGGGGTTACCCAATTACGCCAAAAAAAAAAATTCGTTCTGGGTATAGCCCATTTGCATCAAAATAAAAAAGGTATATTTTTTCCGGTAGCCCATTTGCGCCAAATTTATCTGCGTAAACATTTTACACTAACGAATTGGTTATTTAAAATCGTACAATTGACTATGATTATCGAAAGCTTATAATTTTCAAAAAAAATAAAACTATTTATTACCTACCTATTGTTTAAAATAATTTGTATTATTTTTAAAACATTCGTACTATTGACTAAAATTTAAATAAAATTGTATTGATTATTATTTGAGGAAAAAATATATTAATTTATTATAATTATATTAAGTAAATTTGACGCAAAAGGGCTGTACCCAAAACAAATTAATTTTTTTTGGCGCAAATGGGCAATGCCCGTTTATTTAATACATTCGGTGTAGGTAAGTATTTTATTTTATGGTAGATTACTTGCAGTACAGTATTTATTTTTAAATTAATTTTTATCATTGTATATCGCCAACCGATCAGTCCATTGCAGCATCGGTTCTTTTCAATTATACAGTCATTTGTAAAATATTTTGTGTAAAATGTATAGCAATAATAATAACAATAATTTTATAGTTATCGTCGATATTATCATTATTTTTTTTTTTTTTAATTTCAGAATTTAATAAGTTTTCGTTACACATTACCAAACACTTTCACTTTGAAAATAAAATGGAAGGCAAATATAAGCGACATAAATTACCCGTAGGTGGTCAAAATTTAAAAATATAAGATCAATATATCGGGCATCGAAATATTTTTGTATTGTTATTAATGAACACATTCAAATTTGTAATAACTCATTATAATATTAAGAAGAAATATTAGAGTATTTGAGATGTTATAAAAGAGTACAATAAGGTATTAAGTAATATAAGATTAGGTACTATCTATTTTTTAAAAACAAACTAAACACATGTAAGTAAAAGGTGATAATAAAAATAATTAGGTAATAGACACCTGTTTATAAGTTTAGTAATAAATGTATTACAATTAAGAATGCGTTTATTTGAAAAATATTTTTTCTTAAATCATTGGATAATATTATAATTTAGTACGTAATATAATAAATCGTTTTTACAATTTTAATAATTAATTGACTTAAAAATATCAATTTTATTAATTTTTGAAGAGAGAGATGTAGAGATAATTTAATTTTATTCATTGCCGTTATAACTTATGATACTATTAAAAATGTTGTCATATTAATGAGTTATGCTACTAATTACTAAATGATAAATATTTACTTATAAATAATATTACTAAAACTATAACTAGTACTGTTATTCGAACAATTCAAATTTAATCTGTTATACATTTTGTGGTTAACTAAAACAACATAAATTTATTATCATATTTTAAATAACTCTTGATGTATTTATATAATAACTAATTATTCACGTAGGTACTATAATGCGCTGTATCAATTATTATATTAAACAATGTTAAATATTTTATTTGATATAGTTTTCGTCTCACTTATAAACTATTTTACATTAAGTATTTAATTCATTTATAATTATAATTATGTGTATTATATAAAATATATTATACATATTTTATTAATTTCAAAGAATTCAGGTATACATAAAAATATTAAACTGTCCTGAAATAATTTAATAATAATTAAATCATCTCTCTGATAAACAATGAACATCAATTAATTATTAAAAATAAATTTATGTTCATTCTAATACTAGTGGTTTATCTACTTCTAACCTGTATTTACTAGCTTAAACATATTACTAGGTCATTATTCGAAATAATCTATCTATGACCAGATGGTATATCTATGATCAGATGGTTTATCTATGGTTTAAATTTTACTCATATAATCATGTATATATACATATATATAATAAAACTAAGCCGTGTCGTATAGTTTTATAATTCATAATAATATATTTAGTAAATAGTAAAACGTGTGTTACATAATTTAATTAATTATACATTTTTATCAGTTTTTTTTTTTTTATTTCCGTAACGTAATAACTACAATTTTCACTGAAATAAATCTAGTTTAGATTGTTAATTTATTATTAAAAAAAAAAATTTAACAAGATCACTGCTGATTGTTAGCCACTCGTTTCGCTTCACTCTGTACTACTCTGATGCGTGTTGACGGTTGGTACTATTATGTATTTGCAAATTAAAATCTACCTTAATTGTTTAAATTTCATCACAATGTATTTATTTTTGTAAGAGATCTAAATGCTACTATGAAGTCTTCACAAAACTTAAGAGAGTTACAAAAAATATTGAGATATAGTCTCTTCTAAGTAACACGTCTCACATATGTAAGCACTCCATTCATAAATAATTAAATAAATACCATGTTCCTGATAAATAATAATTAATGGTGAATAGATATTCTATAACGTATACCAATACACCATATTTATTTTTGATAATATATTTTTACTGAGGTAATTTAAGTCTAGCTCCTAAAAAATAATTATGCTCTCTAATTTTTTACTTAGAGCGAAAGCTAAAAATTCCGTGGTTATTTTAGTTTAATTAGGTATGCACTTCTTTTGTAATAACAATAATATTTTGTATTGTGTATTATTAAATAAAAAAAAAAATACTTTAATAATATATGTACAACTAATGATAACAGTAAAACA